GTGCACCAACCTTCAAAAACAGATTTAATGCCATATTCATACTCGAATCGGTTGAAAAATACACTTAATCGTCTAGTTATCATTGCAATCAATATTTTGATAATTGTTTATGTTTTGAGAGTTGGTGCACAGGTAGATTGAGGTTAAGGCGACGCCACTGGCAAAAAGCGTGAAGTGCAAATCTACAGTGTTAAAGATTGTTAAGAAGTTTGGAGAAACGTGTTCTCTTGCAGATTTACCGAGATCTGGGCGCAAAAAGGGGGCATCGCACCAGAAAAAGGAGCTGGCAGCAGTACGCCTTTTGAAATCGTATAAACCGTGTCCTTTTCGTGAAATTGCCAAACAATTGAACATTAGCGTCGGAACTGTGCAGAATATCAAAAAAAAACGTAACAATATCAGAACCTACAAGAAGCAAAAAGCACCCAAAAGGACGGATTCACAGAAAGCTTCTTCGAAAATACGGTCACGGAACTTGTATGACCGGTGCATTTTGATGAACGACGAGTCGTACGTCAAATTGGATACCAGTACACTTCCCGGGCCGCAATATTTCAACGCAGAGCAGAGGACACATGTGCCTGATGATTTGCGATACATCCAAACCGAAAAAAATCGAAAAAAGGTTTTGGTGTGGCAAGCCATTTGCTCCTGTGGCTTAAAGAGTTCTTCGTATTTCACAACGGCCACAATCAATGGAGAAAATTACAAAAAAGAATACATCAAAAAACGGCTTCTACCCATCATCCATTGTTTTGGCTGGGTCTGACATCTGCTCACTATGCTTCTGCTACGTTGGAGATGCTCAAGAAGGGAAAAAAATCGATTTTGTTGAAAAATTCCAAAATCCCCCAAACTGCCCTGAACTGCGTCCTATCGAAAGATACTGGGCAGTAATTAAACGGCATCTAAAGAAATATGGAAGAGAAGCAAGCTCTGTTGACTGCTTCAAGAAAATTTGGTCTGCAGCACAACGAAAAGATCGAGCGTTCTTCAGAAATGAGAAGTAAACTTATGAATTTGTTCGAAAATAAATATTTTCCTTTGAGAAACAGGTGTCTACTTTCATTAATGAACAGTCCTTATGTTCGCATTAGATTAAAAATTGAAATTCTGATAATGTTGTGGGGCTCCAATTCATTAATGTAGCTTAAGCTCCGGCATACTTACATTTTATATTCCTTGAACTATTTCTTAAGCCATATGCTAAAAGCATCTCTAGAAAAATTTATTCTAAGAAAACGTTGAACATTTTAGGGGAAGGTAATAATTTTTATATTATTTATAAACCTGAGGTGCGAAATCTGCAATAGTTGCACAGTAATTTTCTCGCACAGACAAGACAAACAAAAAAAAAACGTCGGAAAAATGAAAACAGCAGCTTAAGAACAGCAATGGCAATTGCTTAAAACTTTAGGAATTTCCAGAAACTGTTGTTGATATCCGAACTGTAGTAACTCACGGAACACTTCAATACCTTTCAAAACTCGTGAAATCGCCTGACATAATCTTCGGATATTGTGATACTTTGGGTTCTACCAGCACCTCCAAAACACTAAAACTTGCGTAGGATAACTTCAAGAACTCCTGGAACTTTCAGATATCTAGGTTCTAGCGTTCCTTTCGCCAGTACGTTTTTTTTTGGGTTTGTGGACCGAATCCGGTAAAAGGATGAAATAATCTGAATTTCTCAAAAGGCCGTAAATACCTAGAGTTCCAGAGATACCGGTGAGGGGTAATGTACATATTAGGTATATGAAAATCGTGACGAAAGGGGGGAGATAGTATTTTTTTCTCAATTTACCGTGACATAATTAAAATATGGCCCATGATATCTAAAATAATTGCACTGTGAAGGTTCTTGACTTTCGAGACTCCTGTAAGTTCAGGGATTTCTTGGACATCCCTTGATTCAAATTTAGCAAAATGTTAGTTCAAATTTGAATGACCCTAACATTTTGTCAGGGTAGGGTGTGTGCCAGTTTTTAGCCCTATCTTAAATTTATAAATTTTTCATTCTTTTCAAACAAATTTTGAATACAAGAAGAACATAGCTTTTGCCAAATACAGGGCTGTTACAATATTTTCAAAATTTGATCCGCGAAATCCGCGATTTCTCAAAAGAAATCCGCGATTTCTCAAAAGAAATCCGCGACTTCAAATACTAATCCGCGACAAAAAAAAACTGTTTTCATTGCCTAAAAATACCATTTGTATACTACTACATGGCATTTCAAGCTTATTGCATATAGCATATTAGATTTTGCCTGCTCTGAACTTAGTGTTCTTTGAAGTATCTTCACATTGATTTGAGAGCTTTCTATGCCCAAGGAAGTAGAGAAATTTGCCAACCCGAAAAATTAATAGACCGAACGGGAGTCGAACTCAGTCGCCTCCAGCATGGCCTCGCTTTGTAGCTGCGCCTTTACCGACTGAGCTAAAGGAGTATCGTTTGTATCATTTGAAAAAAAAAATTCAGTTATTTATGATTTTTTTTATTATTATTATTATGGTCACTTTAACACTCTTGAGTCATTCGTGACTTGTCCGGGGGTGAGATTTGAACTCGTGACTTTGGCGTGGTCGCCCCCTAGTTTATGAATGTTTCTATTGAATAATACAGGTCTAGATTTGATGAAGCATTATTTAAAAAAAAATTATTGAGAGTTAACCTTTGCGTCTCTGACGTATTTTGCTGTCCTAAATGTTAAAGTTAATTTGGCGCTAGTTTTCTCAATTTTTGACCGTTTCAAACCATACACCCTGCACATAATCGAGAAATTACCAGAATTTCATAAGTCACACTTGTTGGTCACGTTGCGGTTCTGTATTTACACAGATATTCCTTGGGGTCTGTCCAATGGTGAAACATTGTATTTTCGTTGGCAAATCATAACCGAATCATATATATGTGACTTTGTGGATCATGCACGACTTATTACTATGTGTACTGGAAATGATAGGTTTTACAAATTTGATTTTTTCTACTAGATCAACCAAAACTGCAATAATGTCTGTAGTATCGAAAAATGTCCAATCAGTTTCAAAGTGTCTATGTGGATCATGCATCATCTATTTCCGAGTAATCCAGATGTAAATTCTTCAAATCGTCCTGGAGTTCAGATAATTTGATCTACTAGATCAACCGAGATTGGGACAACGTCTTTAATATATAAATATTTCCAAACAGATGCACAGTGTCTATGTGAATCATGCATGAACTATTGCCATGTATACCAGATGTTTTAAGTTCTCCAAATTGTTCTGGAGTTCAGATGATTTATTCTACTAGATCAACCATGACTGGGATACAGTCTGTAGTATCGAATTATGTCCAAACATATTCGTAGTGGCTATATGGATAATGTTTAATTATTTCCACGTATACCAGATGATCTAGTAGCATCGAAATATCGATATGGAAATCCTTAGGAAATATTTGGCATACACGAATATAGGTTGGCATGATCCACATAGACACTGCAAATTTATTTGGACATATTTCGATACTACAGATATTGAATTAGGCATGGGTGATTTAGTAGAAACATAATCTGATCTCCAGAATGATTTCAGAACCTATAACATCTTGTATACGTAGCAATAGGTCGGGCACAATCCACATAGACACTTTGAATCTAAAAAAAAAAATACTTCATTATGATGGCTACCAAGCCTTTGGGGATTTTCCTTATTAGAGAGTTGTATAGATTTTTCTCCTTTAGCTTACTTAAATCTTTGGTTTTTATTAGTTAGGTAGGTTCCGATTCAACACATTGTAGTTTCATTTTTATACCTATGATCTTGACTTTTTTTACCTAGGGGATGAGTACTTAAGGGGGTTAGATTTTGATAAGTTCTTTAGTGGGAATGACACTGATGAAGACTGCACATTGTAGTCGAAATACGTATCTGTCATGGATACCAAAATTAATTAAGTGGAATTAAATGGAAGATAACCTTTTTTGCTGTTTTATTTAGCATTCCGCTAACAACCCAATTTCATTACTTCATTACTTCACTTTGAATCTGTTTGGACATATTTCGATACTACAGACATTATTGCAGTCTTGGTTGATATAGTTGAACAAATCAACTGAACTCCAGGACGATTTGGAGAACCTATAATATCCGGTATACATGGTAATTACCCGCATATATACGATTCGTTTATGATTTGACATCGAAAAATGCTATGTTCATATTGGAAATAAATAAAACATGAAAATGTCTCTCATTGGACAGACCTCACGGAATTTCCGTGTAAATCCGGTGTGACTTATGGGATTGAGATCATTTCTCGATTATTTGCAGGGTGTTTGGTTTGAACCGATAACAAATTGAGAGCCAAATGAACAACAAAATTGATGACAGCTAAATAATCCGGGACGGACAATGAATTCCACAATTTTTGTGACAGCACATCAGTCCCTTCGCGATTTTCGCGACATCATTTAATGTTTCCGCGATTTTCGCGACATCATTTAATGTTTCCGCGATTTTCGCGACTGAAAATTCAAATCCGCGACAAATCCGCGAAAATCGCGAAATCCGCGAAATTCGCGAAATCCGCGCCTGTTGTAACAGCCCTGCAAATATCTACGCAGATAAAACCATAAAAAAACAATTTTGATATAGGTCCATGTGTCAAAACTGGCACACTTACCCTAGTTCAAATATAGGTATTGCAATTTTGTATGTTCATAATTTATACGTACATTTTCGAAGTTCATGAATTATCACTTACAAGAATGTTCAAAGTTTTATAAATAATTAAATTAAATTTGTAATTTATTGTTTTATTGGTTACGATAGCCTGTTAGTATAAGCTGTGCATCAGGTCAAGGCGATACATCCCGCGCTCAATTATGTTGCTGAGATTATGCAGCAAAACGAAAGAATCTTTAGGTTCCGTGTTCCCTTGTGGAAGTGACTAATTACCATTAATCTACGTTTCGAGACTAGGTACCGTCCATTTTTGGAACCGCAGTAACACTTACCGAATCTTGTTCCTGGTGTAGCTTTACGGGACCGCTTCCGCCAGTGACCGATGTTTGGAATTTTTTGGTTCCGAGCCGCTGGAACACGCTGGGGCGATCCTTGGGAAGAACTTTTTTATTCGGATTGAGCTCGAGTGTAATTTTACGCTTTACAGGTGTAGACATCTTATTTTCGACACCCGCCGCAATGGAACGCACATATTTCGCACTTCTCTCGAAAGGGGAAAAAGTCGAAAAAGGAAACAAAGAATAGCAGTTTTGCCGTTGCGAATGGGATAGTTCGAAGCACTGCAACGATTTATTCGCGCACCAGGATCCGACAGAAACACTTTTTGGATGTTAAGCACTCGAAAATTTCAATGAATTTTCACAATTTTCAGACAACAAACTTTCGGATGCCGATCGATGCCACCGTAAAATTTTCGTTTTGACGTTTACGTTACATTACAGGGTGATTCACATGAAACGCGGTTGACAACAACGTTTGACAAGTTTCGTTAAATTTCCGAGGGGTCCGGCAAAGTCTACACGGCAACGAAAAACTTTTAAAAGAATCCATTCTGAAGTTCCTTTACAGCTTTCCATGCTCGGCCTGTTGGTATGAATAAATCAATACCAACAATTGAAATGGCCATTTTGTAAACAAACCTTGTAAGGCCATTTTCTCGCGAACCGAAACCTTCATTCGCAAACCTAAACCACAATTGGGTAGAGGAGAATTTCCCCTACCTGTTCATTATGTTGGCCTTACAAGGTTTGTTTACAAAATGGAGTTAAGGCCATTTCAATTGTTGGTCTTGAAATGTATCTTTCTTTGTGCTTTTTGACACTATTGACGCTATTGAATGTAATCAACAAAGAATTAACGATAATTTATGTAATGAAAAATAATTAAAATATAAAATTTGGTCAGTAATTAAATTCTTTAATGAAATTTAGACTGTATTGTGAATTTTCCACCTTATCGAACGCGACGAATTCAAATCGTCGCTGACGAAATCGTCGCCGGAATCGTCGCGGGTGTATATATGTCATGGGTTGTGTCAAGTTGACTGACAGCTGATGAAATTATCTGCATGCCAATCAAAATAAATAAATATTATAAACATTGATTCACATCTTGCAAGGAAAATTGTGACGAATTACATTAATAAAAAAAAAATCAAAAATATTATCACCATCAGTATCACTACATTAGCAGTAAGTATGAACACTATTTACATGAAAATTCCTCCTAAAAGTGACGTTATTGTTTCAGAAAATGTCCAACATTATTTGGCATAATGTACGACGACAATACTAAATATCATTGCATTTATGGATTCTTTTTTTTCTTGGACTATCAAAACAACGACTCTGTGAAATTTACGGTAAAAGCAAATCTACAATAAGTGCCTGGATTACATCGTACAAGAAAAACGGCGTCCTTTCGGAAAAGGAACGGAAATTGGTATACAGAAAGTTTGGAGTGGCAAAACGACAGTGGATTGTAAAGTTGTATATGACCGAACCAATCTTGTTTCTCGATGAGGCACAGAAACGTTTTTATCATAGATTCGGAACATCAATTAGTAGATTTTCGATAGTAAGGATCCTGCACGCGGAGGGTATGAGCTGGAAGAAACTGGAACGTTGCGCCATGCAGATCCGTAATGCTGATATCTCAAAATATTGCGAGGAGTTATCATTTCAGTGGGATTTACCTAATTTAGTTTTTCTGGATGAAGTAGCTTTTGATAGCCGCAATATGCTACGCAATAGGGGATATGGTTTTGTTGGAAAAAAGCTAATTTTCCGTGGCGAATTTCGTCACCGTCCGAGAGTTTCAGCTCTTTGTTTTCTAGGGCAAGGTGGCCTTCTTGATTCATTCATGACGAAAGGGACATTTACACGGAAGAAATTTTTCGAGTGTTGTCGTACGTTTGCCCTTGAATCTGGTAATGTAGAGACATACCCGGGTTTCTATTCGGTCTGGATAATGGACGGAGCTCAAATACATTGCAATAGACACATTGTTATGTACCTAAGGTCTATCGGCATTGTTCCTATATTTTTGCCTCCATACTGTCCCTTCTACAACCTCATTGAAATTGTTTTTGGAATTATCAAGCGATACTTACGACGGCACTACGAAGAAAACAGTTCTAAAGACCTCAAGACAGTTGTGGCCGATGCTTTACTCAGCTTCAAAAATTATGACTGCACAAAAATCATGAGAAAGTGTGGTTATAAAAAAGGAGGAAAATTTGACCCTAAAGTTGGGCTGAATAAACCTATTGAAGACTTCAATTTTTGTTCGGAACTCGAATCAAAAGAGGTGATCTGAGGAAGGACTCATGTAGGACATCATTCTAGTTATTTCTATCACTGATACAGGAAATAAATGAAATTTGTTTCAACAGCTTTTATTTTACAACATTAACATACAAACAAATGACAATCACATCCGAAAATTTGAACGATCTGGTTCTTTCGAATGCCATTTTATCTTTCTTTACATATGATCAACATCTTCTGCGTCTGTTACAGAGTTCGCCAGTGCTCGACTGAGCTCGTTTTCCACAGGTGCAAGTGAACGTTGCATTGAAGTCAGCATTTCGTTGTAGCTTTTAAGCTGTATTTCCATTCCCGATACCCGTTCTTCATTTTTTTTTGGCCACGGCTTATAGGTGTACAGACTGTTCTCTGAGCTCTTGAATGTGAACTTCCATGGCACGAATTATAGTTTTAGCGAAAAATAATCCTCGACGGTTTTCTTCCAGAATTGCTGAATCATCATTCGGTGCAGGTCTCAAGTGCTATTGAATGTCGTCTGGTGGATTCAGCTTCACATAGTCAAGTCCGTATCCCGGTGCTGCTTTCACATGTTCCGCCGAGTTGTTCCACACGAATGAATCTGCTGATACTTCTGGATGCATTCTCTTTAGCTCGTTTATTAACCCTTGAAATGATTTGTTACTGCATGCTCCTGATCTGTCCTGGTCATCTGGGGCTTCTAGTTTCTTCACTAGATCGTACAGTTTTTGATTTGCCACCGCCAACGAATACACATGAAGGTAAACATCAATAACCTTGCTTCTCCATCTTATCATTACATCCGGTTTTTCCTGCAAATCAGATACTCGATATGTGCGTTTACGTTGAAGGTCCTTGAACAGCACAAATGTATCCATGTCTTTGAACTCAGGATCCACTCCTTCAGTCCACTTAACTCGTTTCAAACTTTGGTCATCATAAACAGTTACCTCCCGGCGAATGTGACTCCTAATAGTCTCCCAAGTTTGCTCCAACACCTCCTCGGGTGAATTGCCAAAAACATGACATTCCCTGGTAATCACCTTCGCATCCGCTTTACCTTTGTCGTGATGTTGTCCTCGAAAATCCTTCTTGTAGCAGGAAATCATGAAATGAAACGTACTTTCCTCCAATCGTTTACGTTTCAGTGCTGGTAAAACACTTGAAGGATGGTCAGCTTCCGGCTCTTGCTCAGGTTCTGCAGGTTCTGTCTCGTCGTAGTCCGGGAACTTATCAATATTCCCAATAGGATCGTCTTCGTCAAGGAACTCAGCTGCATAATCGGCATCGGAAGCATCCAGCTCCAGGTTTATGCTGCAGTATGAAAGCTGAAAGTGAATATAAACTTGGTAAATATATAAGAAAATAACATCACTATCCGCATTTTCTTTACCGCTTCCATCTCCTTGATTTTTACAGTTTTGAAACAATTTCCCAACAAACAATTGAGAGCTCTTATAAAACACCTGAGTTGATCAAACGTTGAATAATAGCTTCCAGAGTTGAACAAGAATGTAGTTGTATTGCCATTTGATTAAAAGTTTTAAAAGCTGTTGGAGCACTCTTAAATGATTGTTTCCGTTCGGTTTAACTATATGCTTTATAAGACCTACGATAACTTTTAAAGCACCTTAGTTAAACTGATTCACAAGAGCTATACAGAACGTGGAATAAACGCATCAAAACAAACAATTGGGAGCTCTTATAAAACACCTGAGTTGATCAAACGTTGAATAATAGCTTCCAGAGTTGAACAAGAATGTAGTTGTATTGCATTTTTGGTTAGAAGCTTCAAAAGCTGCTTGGAGCACTCTTAAATGATTGTTTACGTTCGGTTTAACTATATGCTTTATAAGACCTACGATAACTTTTATAGCACCTTTGTTAAACTGATTGACAAGAGCTATATAGAACGTGAAATAAACGCATCAAAACAAACCATTGGGAGCTCTTATAAAACACCTGAGTTGATCAAACGTTGAATAATAGCTTCCAGAGTTGTACAAGAATGTAGTTGTATTGCTATTTGGTTAAAAGCTTCAAAAGCTGCTTGGAGCACTCTTAAATGATTGTTTACGTTCGGTTAAACTGTTTGACAGGAGCCATATAGGATGTGGAATAAACGCATCAAAACAAACCATTGGGAGCTCTTATACAACACCTGAGTTGATCAAACGTTGAATAATAGCTTCCAGAGTTGTACAAGAATGTAGTTGTATTGCCATTTGGTTAAAAGCTTCAAAAACTGCTTGGAGCACTCTTAAATGATTGTTTACGTTCGGTTAAACTGTTTGACAGGAGCCATATAGGATGTGGAATAAACGCATCAAAACAAACCATTGGGAGCTCTTATAAAACACCTGAGTTGATCAAAAGTTGAATAATAGCTTCCAGAGTTGAACAAGAATGTAGTTGTATTGCCTTTTTGGTTAGAAGCTTCAAAAGCTGCTTGGAGCACTCTTAAATGATTGTTTACGTTCGACCAATCACAATTTTGTTGCTAAAAATAGCACAAGTGATAGGCATGTTTATATAACCATAAGGCAATGATTATTCGACTGCAAGAGAAGTCACTCAAGATGAGCTTGATGTACTTCTCTCATATGATCAAAATATGTATTCAAGAATAGAGCAGATGGAAACAGAAGCGGCTGGCAATCCGGGATCATGAGTTCGAATCTTGCTTCGAGAAACCCTCGGTGGAGTAGAGGTAAATTATATATATAGGTGTTATTAATAAATGCAAACATTAATTTAAGACATAAATCATATAATCAACGATAACATTTCTAGATAAATTCTCTCAATTATTGATTAGAGAGATTAATTGAAAGAATATCAATCAAAGATTAAACAGATGCTTGTTACTACTTCCTCCATGATCACAGAATGTGAATTATGGCATAATTACATATTTTTTCAATGTGCACAAATAAATTAAATTAATAAAAACTGTACAAGCAATTATTTTGGCGTACCACGACAATGGTTAAACTAATTTTAATCTGTGAATATTGTGAGTACTTACACAACGGTTATTAAGGAGTCATTGAAAAGTGCTATAAACGCTATTCACCGCTTGCTGTTCAATTAATATTTAGGAGTCATAAAAGAGTGTAACAAACGCCTCTTAGGTTTCCTCTCTACTAAATTTCAAAGCAGCTGTCAGGAAGTGTCTACAAACGTTGTATAAGAGCTTTCACCAAAACAATAAAGCTTGAGTTTAAATATGTATCTATAAACGTTGTATAAAAGTTGCTTGTACTCCTATACCGCGTATACATATAATGCTGTAGTTGAACAGGTTCTCCAAACCAGTGTAAACAAGAGTTTTACAGAAGTTGTAATAAACAAATTGTACAGTTATTATTCAGCATGCAGTTGAATAAAATCATAATGGAAGCGTTTCTTCAACAAGAAATTGATTTTGGATAAACGTTTTACTGAATACGTTAGACAACACCTTTGTGTTGCAGTTGTATAGGTTCTCCAAACCAGTGTAAACAAGGGTTTTATAAAAGTTGTGGTGAACACATTGTGCAATTATTATTCAACATGCAGCTGAACAAAATCAAAACGAAAGCGTTTCTTCAACTGGAAATTGTTACTTGGGTTATGAACCGACTAACGAAAAAAAAATATTCATAAATACGAATGAAAACAAACACACTAACTCCAAAGAACTCATAACTGGAAAATTTTCACCCATTTATGAAAAGAGGTTTAACTCATTAAAAATGTTTTATGGTCTACCCTTTTAATGAGTGCCTTTTACTAATTTATGAATAACTGTTACCTGTACATTTTACGAGTAACAGTTACTCATTAATTTGGTAAAATTTTGTTTATTTTATGAGCAAAGCCACTTCTTTAATTGCTGTAATTTTATCCATTAATGGGTTCTTTCGAGTTTACGTGAGGAGAAAAAAACCTTCTGTTTATTTATCAATCAGTTGTTGGAATATGACGTTTCACTAACACAAAGATAAAAACTCGTGCGCATTTTCATGCGACCTTTCTAAAACTGTCAACAAGTGAGTGTCGCGTTTTGTTACCAATGAAACAGACAATACATAAAGTAATGAATGCAGTAATGATAAGATTTTAAATTTGTGGTCAGCAGGCTGCGTAGTATTGAAAGACTAGTGCGTGCCCCTCGAGTCATGCATAATTAAATACGAATTAATCACTTGTGTTAAAAAAAAAATCTTTTCTGTATTACATTTTATCGAGCATTTTATTCTTTTAGAATATTAATAGGGGACAGTGGATGTTATGTCGGCCTAAATGCCCCTTATTTGGGTCCATACATAAAATAAGCAATCGACTAAATTTTCAATAGCGACCAAAAATATCCATTAGTACTGTCCCAATGACGCGTTCATCTAGATAACATTGATAAATAGCAGATTTTTAGCGAAGGGCCCAATCTTAGATCCATACCCTAGTTAAAATAACCATAAAAGAGAGCTTAACGACGTGTTCGGGGTATCATCCAAACCATTTGCGGGATAGTTTACCCATCCGGGATACAGTTCGTTTATGGTATTTGTTTATTAGGGTAGGCCAACATTCCCCTATCCAGCTTTCCATGCTCGTTAATGGCGGCCTGTTTGTATGAATAAATGTATCCTTAACTGTGCTTTCTGACACTAACTGGAGGGCGTATGTTGTTCCATTTTCTTCTGTTCCTGGGAGAGGGAAAGAGAGGGGTCAAAATCCGAACCTCCAGATAGTGTCAAAAAGTCCATTGAAGGATACATTTATTCATACAAACAGGCCGCCATTACTGAGCATGGAAAGCTGGATAAAATCAAAATTTATTAAAATTCTATCAAAAAAGATTAAAATTCAATCAAAAATGATTAAAATCGATGAATCAAAAATGATTAAAATGATTCATTCATTCCTTGGGAGAGACGGTTTTCGTAGGCCACCCTCACAAATCAACAGCATCTTCGTGTTGGGGATCCCGTAAAAAAAATCCAATAAAAATACAATGATTTTCATTGTCATTGTAACCATGATATTTACTGTCAAAACATTGGACATTTTGGTCCATTACTATAAAATCACAACGAAATTCATGGTTCACAACAATGAAAATCATGGTATTTGAGAAATTTACAGTAAAAAAGGGGGGTTGGCATCTTAACAATATTAAAAAGTGATTTTTCCCGAACAAATTTGATCTCATCACACTAATTTTCGTTGTTTGAGCATTGTATCGTTAAAAATCGAAATCTACTTTTTCTCCCGTACCATAATTTAACAATAAATTTTAATGTACTCAAAATTCAACAGTAAAAACCATTGTAATTTCGTTGTTTTATTATAATTATTTTTTTCTGGATAGTTTCCTCTACCCGATGAGGGCTTATATGTATACAAAGTTAATGCAGATAGGCCCTTTTCAATTGTTGGTCCTATAGTGTTCGTGCTTCGTTGAGTAGAGCTGGGAAATATACCTGTCACTCAACAAACTAGTGTCAAGCGCGTTCCGTTTTTGACATCGCCGCCCCTCGATCGTTCCATTTTTCGTCGTTCTTCTGTTGCGGCTTTACAAACAAAAGAAGGGAAGTAAAGCACCGTCATCTTTGAAAATACGTAAGTTTTTGGCTGAAAAATGCTTCCTATTTCGAAATTTACGTTCTTAATGCACCTGCCTTTGTTTGTCTTTTTCCAGCAGTGCTTTTGTTTGTAAAACTTGGACTCAAATCTGCCGCAGAAATGGAGATCGATGAGGAAGAGTTCGAGCAGCCAACTTCCAGCAGCAGCCGTGGAGAGCGGAAGAGATTCGAGGTGAAAAAGGTACGAAATTGTGTAAAATTTACCTTCTTGTGGTGTGAAATAATGCTAATTTTAATTTTAATTTTTTTAGTGGAATGCTGTGGCTCTGTGGGCTTGGGGTAAGTTGAAATACGTATATTATGTTTTTAATTTTTATCGATCGATCGACCTTGTAACTAACCTCGAATGTGATTTCCTGGTTTATAAGGTTTTATTGAATTTTCTATGTCATTTGTTATTCTTAAAACTTTTATTTGTTATTAATACTTTGAACTCTTTATTTTGCTCAGATATCGTAGTGGACAACTGCGCCATTTGCCGTAACCACATTATGGACTTGTGTATTGAATGCCAGGCAAATCAAGCATCAGCTACCAGCGAAGAGTGCACTGTTGCCTGGGGTGTATGTAATGTAAGTGATTGAATGCGTTGTATTGTTATTGGCTTTTGTTAATTAATGAAACTCTTCTATTTATTAAAACAGCACGCATTCCACTTTCACTGTATCTCCCGTTGGCTGAAGACACGACAGGTTTGCCCGTTGGATAACAGGGAATGGGAATTCCAAAAATATGGACATTAGTAACCGGATTCAGCACATCTCAACAGGCCTTTCATACTTTTATGGCTAATTTAAAGCAAAAATGTTTCCGTGCAGAAGCTGACGATTCAACTCAAATTTTAGTTTCTAGATCAGTGAAATAAGAAACCTTGATTTTGGGAGTTAACATACCATTGGAATTAAACCGGTAAATCAGAGTTCTCTACAGTTACTCTATAGATTGGCTTGAGAAAATATCTTTAACATTAGGGGTCATTCGGAAATTATGCAAAGCTATTTGAGCAATAATTAGACTGTCCAATTTTAGCTTATAAAGGGGTCTCAAATCTAAGATCTCTAACTTTTAAGACAAGCTATACGTATAGAGTTGCGAGCACGTTTCAACGATGAAAAATGACGTATCTGCATTTGTAAACAAATAATATCTGATACTAGATCTAGCACCACCGATGTTAAGGAAACTTTACCCTACCTGATGGTGGTGTGGTGTTTAGAAGCGCCAACTTCATGAAATTATTTAATTTTACAAAATGGCAGGAGCTAGTTAGCCTAACAGAACTGATGACATTGTTGCTGTTCCTCACAATAGTTAGATTACTACCCAAGTAAGGGGCTGTTCATTAACTACGTAGACAGTCTTTTGGTTTTCTTGACACCTACCCCCCCCCCTGTGTAGATAATTGACAATACAAAATTTTAAAAATTGTTTTGAATGACTGAGCGTACATTTAAGAAGAAAAACTTCACTGAAGACACCAAACGGCTAAATCCTAAAATAAGTTCTACGGACTTTTGTCTTGCTAAATTCCAATCCTGGACCACTGTGCAGAGGGAAATGGATTGTACACACACATACAAACACACACACACACACACACGCACACGCTCCTCCGGAAGGCTGAAGAAGGATCCTGCTATCAAGAGCTCAGCCTTCAAGGAGCTCGTCGAAAAGTATCTTGGCGAAGGGGCGAGCGTAAGAGATCTATCCCAGGAGACAGTGGTCGAGTCCAGGGATCTAGACAAGGAGAATATGAGGATGAGGGAGACGTACGGCGGCATGCAAACGCTGATCTGTGCAGGAAATGTGGAGAGAAAGGTCATATTGCAAGAGGCTGCCCAAAGCAACCGAGGTGTATGCTCAGCAAAAAAAGAGGACGTAAATGATCATACGACGGGAGGCTTCAAATGCCTAGCATACAAAATGGCGATGGCGGGTCAACAGTAATGGAGGTAATTCAAATAATCCTCAATCATTGCGACACTGCTCAGCAACTTTTGTGGCAGTCGACAACAGAAACAAAGTGCGACGTTGCAATCATTGCGGAACCGTATCGAGTCCCTCCCGATAACGGTAACTGGGTGGCGGATAGAGCTGGGATGGCTGTGATTCAAGTTATGGGCAGATACCCTATTCAAAAAGTGGTTGCAAGCTCATACAAAGGTTTCGTGATCGCCAAAATTAACTTAATCTTCATATGTAGTTGTTACGCACCCCCAGATGGACGTTAGAGCAGTTCCATGAGATGCTGCATGTGCTTACCGAAGAGCTGATTGGACGACGACCGGTAGTCATCGGAGGAGACTTCAATGCTTGGGCAGTGGAGTGGGGAAGCAGATGTTCCAATGCAAGAGGGCACAGTCTGTTGGAAGCTCTGGCAAAACTGGAAGTTATGCTGGCCAACGAAAGCACCAGCAGCACTTTTCGTAGAGATGGCCGGGAATCCATTATCGACGGTACTGTCTGCAGTCCGTCGCTGGTGGCAAACATGGATTGGAGAGTGTGCGAAGGATAAATCCATAGCGAACATCAGGCGATCCGATATGGCATCGGCCAACAGAATACTGTGGCAGTACGGATGACGAGAATTTGTGACCGGAAGTGGAAGACGAAGGCTTTTGACAAGGATCTTTTCATTAAGACACTCCGTGTTTACAGGAGCCCCGTGGTTCTGAATGTGGACGAGCTGACAGAAACGTTAGTGAGAGCATGTGACACGACCATGCCGAGGAAATTTTAGCCAAATAACAGACGGCGGCCAGTTTATTGGTGGAACAAGGCACTTAGCACCTTCCGCGCTAGTTGTCTCAGAGTCAGCAGACGTGTTCAGAGAGCATGAACAGAAGCAGGCAGAGAGGAACGAAGAGTAGTGTTTCGAGCGGCCAGAGCCGCAGTTAAACGAGAGATAAAGCAGAGCAAGTTAAACTGTTTTAAGAAGCTGTGTCGAGACGCTGATGCCCGCACCCCTGTCGATACTCGCTGAAATGTGTCCAGAGAAGCTGAAAGTCATCGTGGAAGGACTTTTCCCGACCCAACGACCTGGCCACTTACACCGTACGAAGAAGGAGAGGGAGATAACATCGAAGTCACCAACGAAGAACTCGTAGCAGTGGCGAAAGGATTGAAAGTGAAGAAAGCTCCCGATCCGGATGGATTCCCCAACGTAGCGTTGAAAGTGGCGATCCAGGCGTCCCCGGACATGTTCAGGATGGTGCTGCAGGGTCACTTCCCTGACAGATGGAAGATACAGAAGCTAGTGTTGCTGCCGAAACCAGGAAATCCACCGGGGGATCCAGCATCGTATAGGTCTATATGCGCTGGATACACTCGGAAAACTCTTCGAGAGGATCATCTTAAATAGGCTGACGAAATGCACGGAGAGTGAGCCCAGATTGTCGGAGAGGCAGTTCGGTCTCCGGAAGGGGATATCGACGGTGAATGCAATTCGGACAGTGCTCAAGAGAGCCGAGAAGGCGTCTAAATAGAAGTGGAAAGGAGATCGATATTGCGCCGTGATAACGATCAACGTCAAGAATGCTTTCAACAGCGCCAGCTGGTAGGCCATCGCCGAAGCGGGTCCCTGATTACCTGTGCAGGATCCTGCGGCGTTATTTCCAAAACTGGGTTCTGGTCTACGAGACAGACATGGGACAGAGATCGATTAGGATCATAGCGGGAGTTCCACAAGGATCCATCCTTGGTCCAATGCTCTGGAACGGGATATACAACGGCGTGCTAACGTTGAAGTTACCCAAAGGTGTTGAGATCGCTGGCTTTGCGGACGACGTCGTCTTGACGGTAACAGGCGAGACGCTGGAAGAGGTGGAAGTGTTGTCAACCAAGGCGATCAACATGGTTGGTAACTGGATGCCAGTAGTGAAGCTACAGATAGTCCACCACAAAACGGAAGTGTTATTGGTCAGCAACTGTAAAGCGGTACAGCGGGCAGACGTCGGGAAGCACGCCATAGTGTCGAAGCGTGTGTTAAAATACCTTGGAGTGATGATCGATGACCGGCTAAACTTCAACAGCCACATCGAATAGGCTTCGAAGGCCATCAACGCGATAGCTAGAATCATGTCGAACAACGCTGGTCCCAGCAGTAGCAAGAGGCGTCTTCTGGTCAGTGTATCGTCGTCGATACTGAAGTGTGGAGGTCCTGCCTGGGTTCCAGCGCCGGAAACGATGCAGAACCAAAGGAAACTGAGCAGTACGTTCCGGTAAATGGCCATGCGTGTCGTGAGTGCGTACAGAACCATCTCGTCGGAAGCAGTATGCATTATCGCCGGTATGATCCCTATCGACATCACCCTGGCAGAGGACAGCGAGTGCTACAGGCGGAGAGAAGCCGGAAGAGTACGGAAAGTTGTGAGAGCGGAATCGTTGGCTAAGTGGCAATAGGAGTGGAACACGGCGGAGAACGGTAGATGGACACATCGACTAATACCGATTCTTCCACCTAACGTAGTTCCTGTCTGGCCACGTCTGCTTCAGGAAATATCTGCATCGGTTCGGACACGCAGCGTCACCCCTCTGTCCGGAGTGTGGCAGAATACGGTCGCAAAAAGCCGTGCCCGGATGTTGTACGACCAGAAGGTAACGAAACCACACTGATGCGTAATGGATGACGAGACATATGTGAAGGCGGACTTCAACCAGATTCCAGGAAACCTGTATGTGACTGCCAAGGATAAGTGTGATGTTCTCGAGAACCTCCGGACACAGAAGATGACGAAGTTCGCCAAGAAGTTCTTAATGTGGCAAGCGATTTGTACTTGTGGAAAGCGGAGTACACCTTTCGTTACCGTTACTGGTTCTGTGTATTGCATGCCCCTCAGATTGCTGTCGAGTTGTAAATAAGTTTAGTTCCTATACGTAGCTGCGAATCCTATAGTCATGACTCTAAGACGATTAACCGTTGTCTGATTTTTCTTTCAACAATATTAAACAAAAGTTCTTGTGTAACGTTTTTAAACCGAATTCATATATTTATCGCTTTAATAAATAAAATAATCTCGTCTACACACATATCACTGGTTTGTCTCACGAAAATGTTCAATACTTATCACATTTAAAGACTATAATACTTCGCAAAAATCATACTCTAATGATGTTCACCACTTTTTACTTTGTATGTGGATTTCCATATCTCGAAAAGACAAATGGTCGAATGGAACCGATAAAAGATTGCTAACGGCATCGACACGTGTGTAATCACCGTCCATGCCCAGGTCCCGAAAAAGTCCAAATGAGTTGGCCTGAAACTAGCCCTTCCCTTAACCAGGGTATTGATGAACCACATGGCCATATTGGCCACTAGCAGGAAAGTGACTATCTCTCTTCCTGGCTTTGTTCGATTCTGTTGAGCACCGCGACACTTTCGCCAAACTGCATTGAGAATGAACAGTGTTTGCATGGAGGTTTGCACCAGACTGAATACTTCCGCGATCAGTCCTTCTCGAGCACCGTAGATGCCCTGCTTTATCGAGAAGTAGCTACCGACAATGCTGAACATACCGTAGACGTAGACCCCAGTCTGTGCCAGGACCAGCAGTGTACAATCAAGACTCACGGAGCTTGCATGTTTGTCGTTGTGTTTCTTGCAGTACTTGATGTCTCGCATTTTTAGCATAGCCAGGGCTACACCGGCTGCCGTAATCGCATACAATATAGTTTCGGCTATGGTGACCTCTTGAAGGGCGAAATACTCATAACCAGGTTCGTCGTGTAGTACAAAGTACATAATCAGACAGATAATGGTTAGAACGGTGATGATGATTCCGCCAAACATTCCGCGATGAGCTCGTGAACAGTCTACTGAGAAGTGATGAGCACTTTTTGTATTAACTGCAGTGTTAACCTTCTGGGAAGTTCTTCGAGTTCGATCAATTTCGGCTATAGTTTTAACCTTTTTCCACATTTCGTAAAGAATCACAGCGCAAATAAGCGAGTATTCGATGGTACAGGGAAACAGGAATGGAGAAGCGTTCTGCACCAGAGTTCCCATAATGTTAGTCCGTTGACAGTCGATGTATTCGGTAGCATCGCTAGTGGAAGCTCGCCTGGAGCGATTCTGGAAGGCTGCATCTAGTATAAAGTTTGTATTTTCCTCACTGCTGTCGTCGCTCGTCGCGGACGCTATCGTTGAAGTTGTCGTGTTGATGGTCACTGACACTGCAGAAATTGTACTTGGTTTAGTTGAACAGAGTAGATAAGATTGGAGAACTTACCGATGCTATTGTGATGGAGCGTGTGAGATAGATGGTGAATTTCGTGCTTTGTTTCCTCTACCAAGATGTACAACCACTCGCAGAGATTCGTTGCTATCATGTGCATGAGGCCAAAGCGGGCGAACACCTTGTGGCGGGCCATATCCAACTCCGTCGTGTTCAGAAAGATAAACTGCATCTGTACAATGGACAGGATCATCCGAGCAACCGGTGTAAGAGCTATGTAGATGCTTGAGCAGCCTGGAGACGCATGTAGTTCAAAGTATTGCCCAAATTCAAGTCCTGAATAGACCATTGTCCCTATGCCGAAGGCAATCGCTCCAACCCGCAAATAGAAACTGCCAAAGTGAGGGACACGTTTCTTGGTCGGGTAGGCATTGGTTTTCTCATCTGCGAAAAAATAATTAAATTTGAAATCATGGAAAGATACCAGATATTTGCAATTTCTTACGATAGCTCTTGATCAAGGTCATGACCGCCCTTCGTCGCATGTTTGATGCGTACACGAAAATCACAAACATAATGCTTACTGTGTAGAGATACAAGTAGAACCCTTGATAAACGTCCGCTGGTATCTGAGAGGACAAAATCTCCGTTACGGGCAGTGCAATCCCAAGAATTACAATAACCTTAGCGTATAGCGCTGAAAGAGCTGTACTCAAAGCGTCACTGAAAGCAAAAGCAAAAGTCAGTTGGTAAAATAATCAATTCACTTTCCATATGTGTTACCTACTCTCCAATTCGTCGATTCTTTCGTCGAGACTCAATGGCAAGTTCACTGTGGGCGCCAACCCCATGAGGAATCTGGCTGAGTGATGCCTTGCTACCCATGTTGGACTCAGCGTCTGGTCCATGGTGTGTACTTTTGCTTTTACCAGGTAGCCAAGCCAGCGAACCTCTTCGCAGGGCAGACATAATTGCTGATGGCCTGTGTGTAGATAGGATGTCCTGCATAACTATCGAAGGCCTTCGTGGTGTGGATCCGTTGGTGTGTGTTGTTGATGTAGTCTTCGCCGTAGGTTGTGTGTTCTCAGGAATCTGGTCTAGGATTGTTGCCGATCCATGGTGGGAATACTTAACAGGCATCGTGGCAATGGTGGCAGCTTTCGGGATCAACTGACTTGATTCTCCATCTGTCTGGGGTGCGACAAGATGCTGTTGCTTATCTTTGAATGCAGATCTATCGTCAGAATCGATGTCGACTTGCTCACTGTAGGACGGAAAATTGAATGAAACCGTTAGTCAATGTTTCTACCAGTTGCTTATCGCGTGACAGCTCATCACTTTTCGTAATAACCCGATTGGCTGGCGAAAGAGGACTGATTATCGTATGCCAAAACGGTGGCGTCACACTGTGGAACCATGACTATACAAGGTATACTGTTAATACGATAAGATAGGGAATGAGAGAGAACAATACAGTATGATCTACATTAAATTGCCGTCGATCAAAATGTTCGCGAGACATCTTTGCACTCTTTGCACGTGCTTGTTATGGCGTTGTCTCGTGAAAGCGATTGGTTTCTGCAAGGTCCATGGGGATAAGACAGATTGCATTTAATTGTCAAGTGACATGTAATCTGTCAGCAACTGTGTTTATGATCATTTGCTTCATTATCTGCGTTGGAAATTTCGTCTAGTCAGAATTGCGTAAAATTAAGTTGTCAGACGTACTGGATTCAGTCTGCTTGCGTCGTATTTCGATACATTTCGGAAAACGTTCCGATACTGGAATACAGAGTTACAAAAACATTGATATGGCAACTATCGTTTGCATTGAAAAAGTTTCCCACAGACAAACACTCATAACGCATTGAATATTTTACACTGTGAAACATCATCTTTAAAACACTACCGCCATCTGTTGAGTACACTGCCATTGGCAGTACGCTCAACAGATGGCGGTAGTGTGTAAACGTCAAACGCAAGGGAATTGACTTTACGTGTCACAAGCGGCAGTACTACCAACAATCAATACGAAACTAACGATTTTAAATTGGCTCACTACTTGACTGGCCTGTTGGTCCTAAGCAAATCGATTAACGTACCCCATTCTAGTATAAATTCCAGTACTACCTTATGTTTGTTTTGATGCGCTATGAAAGTTTGACAAATGAAATGAGGGGTTCGTGGATTTTCCAATGTTTCGAGGGATGCATCGATTAGCTTGGGTCCGATGATAGTACCAGAGCTGACCTTCTAGCCATAGAGTTACCTCTATGGTACTACCAACTAAGAGAAATTTAAATTGGTCGATAAATGTGTGTGCGATGAAAAATATGATAGTGTTATGTCTGTTTGTCTGTGCTTTTTCCATATATGTTTCCAGAGTGACTCGGGATGTTTCAAGCGGTCAACCTGCCACGCTTGGTACCAAAATCAACTGCACCTCTGTAGAGAATTTCAACCAGGTTCAAAAATACATCTGAAGAGGTGCGGGTATGAATATTACACGCACACCAAACCAAATGAAAAGGGTCTACCGGGATGTGCTTCGTGGTCTTCCGCTGGTTGAACCAAAAGAGCTCCTGGAACGTTTGAAGAAGGAACACAACCTCATCGGCCAGGTGGCTCAAGGAAGGGGGACTGTCCTCAAGACACCAACCTCAAGAAGCTGAGAGACGTGAAGCACGTCCGCAACAAGCGAAGCCTACCGCAACAAGCGAGCCGACGTAACACAGTGCATGATCTGCCTTTATCACGGCCATGGAACCCGAAACTGCCACCTGATGAGCAGATATAAGAACTGTGGCGAAACCCACGCCATAGAGAAGTGCTAGACAAAGAGTGCACCAGCGAAACGATGCGCCAACTGCGACGGTGCTCATCCGATTACAGATCGTAGCTGTCCCAAGCGTGCCAAATACATTCGGATTCGACATCAAGAAACAACCTCGAACCAGCCGGGTCGGAAGGAGGTTAGAAAAGGTTCAGCTGCACCTGCGCTCTCGTTGGAGGATTTTTATGCGTTACCGAATAGCTCGGTACCTGCCGGAGCATTAAATTTTGTGGACTCACAGTCCGCAGTCAACGCTGGGATCAACCAACATAAGCATGAACGTAGTATAGATCCTCGCACCAGAGCGGGTATACAATCCATCAGCGGGCTTATCTCCCGAGATAAGCGAAGAGGTGCTCTACAGTTCTGCCCAGCTGTGGTCCATCTTTACCGACTTCTGCAATCGTTCGGACCAGGTCAAGGTCCTAGGCTACATGGTCTGCCAATATGGGGTCAACTGAGCCCCACAGAATCCGAATTGCCAATTGGACGCTCGCTCTATAAGAAGATTGAGTAAGGTAACTTCCTTGCCCGACAAAGCGTCGACTTGGGAGTTATCACCGAGACACTCCTAGTTCACATCATGATCCGGCTAGATCGCCCCAAGTCAAGCGGTGGCGGTGTGGTTGTCATCATCAAGCATGACATTCGTTATGAAATCCTACCACATCCGAAAACAAGCATTATTGAAGCAATCGGCGTAAAAATACACGCTCTTCATGGAGACATCACGCTGTTTGCCGTCTACGTACCTCGGCAATACGTAGACAACAATGCCACATCCAAACTCCTCGCGGAAGCTCTCCAAAAGCTCACCGACAACAGAATCGGCACTTTCCAGACGAACCAACGTTCCTCTCCCCAGCTGGAATAACATCAACACTGGAAGTGTTCCTGTCCGACCTGGCACCTACCACGAACTGCGTTCCGAACACTGCCCGGTAGTGTGTGAACCAGATTTCATCCCTACAACAGCGCCGGTGATGATGAGACGAGATTACCATCGGGCCAACTGGGAGGCCGCCTTCCCGCATAAACGCGAACCATCACATGACCTTACCGATAATGGTTATAAATTGTTTATAATCCCTGCTAAACTTCAACTGAAATGGTTATAGAACCTTACATGAACGTTTGTGTGATAAAGTTTTAACCTTATGTGTTATTGTTTTTTTGAAGCGGACCTTACAAATAATGGGTTGTTAAGAACCATTACCATTCCAAATTCTTGTTTTCTCCATACATTTTCGGAAAGAGAACTATATTAGAACGTTTTTACTTATGGTTTGAGAACATTAATGGTTATGGTTATGGTAGTCAGTAAGGTCCATTAATGGTTTTGTATTATCACTCAACTTTACGTGAAATATATCGTGAATTGGTAATCAGTAATTTACAGGCAACCAATTCGCGATATATTCCACATAAAGTTGATCGATGTTACAAAACCATTCATGGACCTTACTGGTTACCATAACCATTACCATTAATGTGCTTAAACCATAAGTTAAAAGATTTTAGTAAAGTTTTCTTTCCGAAAATGTATGGAGAAAACAAGTATTTGGAATGGTAATGGTTCTTAACAACCCATTATTTGTAAGGTCCACTTCCAAAAAACTATAATACTTAAGATTAAAACTTTATCATTAAACGTTCATGTAAAGTTCCATAACCATTTCAGTTGAAGTTTAGCAGGGATTATAAACAATTTATAACCATTATCGGTAAGGTCAATTTATGGTTCGCGCTTATGCGGGTTGTGGACTCACGACTTCCCGAATATATGGATCTGCCATCCACCGAAGCCATCGATAGCAAACTGGATGTATTCGAGGAAATTGTGCACATTGCAGAAGAAGCTAGCATCCGCTGGGTACCGGTGACAATTCACCATGATTGATACCAGCTTATCCAGCAACGAAACATCGTTATGCGACAATTCCAGCGAACCGGATGCCTCTTAAAAAAATAAAAAAAAACAAGTCTCCCTCCTCAACTGCCTGATTAGGGACCGAATGATGTTGATTAGGAACCAACAGTTCTCGAACAGCATGTAACAACTGAGCGGCCACTCGAGGCCGTTCAGGAAGGTGAAAAAGAGTGTCTCCACAGAAAGACGACACTGGAGGCATATCGGTGTCCCCGTCGGAGAAGGCCAACGCTATCGCCAACAAACTCATCGTAGCACACAACATCGGAACAGGCATGGTGAGTCCCCACGAAGATGTAGTGCAACGAACAATCAACCAACTTGACGAACAAGCCGACGATGGCCCCCGGCAACGATGCTATTTTCAATCTGGTTCTGAAGATGCTCTCCAGCAAAGCATTCCGATTCCTGGCTGCAATCTTTAATAGATGCTTCCAGCTAAGCTACTTCCCGACCACATGAAAGACAGGGAAAGTCACTCCTATTCCTAAACCTGGAAAGGATCCAACTGCACCATCAAGCTACAGGCCCATCATGTTGCTATCAGCAGTCAGCTAACTATTCGGACGGCTTATTTTCCAGTATCTGATGGAACACGTCGAAGAACACACGTCATCATAGCGGTGCAATTCGGCTTTCGGAAGGGGCATTCTACAGTCCATCAACTAGTCCGAGTGGAGAACACCATTCAACGGAACAAGTCACTCTCTAACAAGTCTCTTTCTAACAGGTACTCCTGGATGTGGAAAAGGCCTTTGACAACGTCTGGCACGATCGACTTGTTCATAAGCTGGTGCAGGCGAACTTCCCAAACTACCTCACGAGAATGGTAAGCAATTATTTAAAAAATCGAACGTTTCGAGTACATCTTTCAGGTGCCACTTCAGAAATCCACGCGGTTCTAGCGGGTGTGTCTCAAGGCAGCCTCCTCGGCCCCTCCTATGCAACATTTACACCTCTGACGTTCCACAACTCCCTGCTGGCTGCGACCTGGCGTTGTACGCAGATAAAAATACCATCATGATCAACGGTCGGACTCCACTACCGGTGCCGGCTTCAACAAGATGTAACGGCGTACGTATCGTACCTGAACAGCTGGAAAATCAAAGTGAACGAAACCAAGAGTTAAGCCATCCTATGCCGACATCGACCATCCCAAGCAGCACAAAGCAGTGGCAAAAAGGTGCAACAATTTGATTGTGACTGAAATAAGTCACATACAAGTTACCTCAACTGTTTTGCACCAAGTTTGCTGCTAGGGGTCACCAAAGCTACTACCTCCAGCTGACTGTTTCATTCGAATGAACATCCACCCCGTTGACTGGTCAAATGAAGTCGACTGCTTTGGCGTTACGTATCGCACCGACAAGCTAAAAAACAGGTATATTGGGTCAGTCCGCATCGTGCTCTCTTGCCGTGCGGATCTATTTGCTTTTTGCTGAAGGAAGTGTTACTACTACCTAAAGCTACAACAAATTTAAACAGCACTTTTCAGTGCTCA